CAGCATGGTGGTGGTGAAGAGTGTACGTGCACATGTTTGAAATCAGTGTCTCTCTCAGAGAGTAAAGCACATTCCACAGTTCCTGCTGGGCTTTGTGTTCAATACAGCAGCTCTGCCTCACGCATGACGAGTCACCGAGACACGGGGTCACAGAGGGGAAAACGCCTCGCCTAGAGCAGAGCATGATTAATCGTTAAAGATTGCAATCTTGAATCAAAAACCCACGCAGTCTTAAGATTATTAATCTCTTGATGATCGCAGCTGTACTAGTCTGCGTTTGACCCAGAGAGATCAGTTATCATGTATGGTAAAATGAAACAGCTTCAGTCTCTTCAACCTGTGTTGTTAGGTTACAAACTTTCAAACTGTCATCGAAAAACTGAGATATAATTTTATATTTTGCATATAAACATTGATATCTAGACTATAATGGTCAAAATCACATTTTGAAAGCAGCTTGATGCTTCAAATAAATGTCATAGCAAATACATTGTTTAACCCTGGCTCATTATGATTACACACCCCTATTTTCTGGAGAGAGCGAAATACTAATCCACCAGAGGTCACTGAGAACACTTTTTCAGATCTCAAATTTCTCTCGCGAGTGCCTGCTGTTCTCACATAAATACACAAGAGGCAGCTATCGACTGACTGACTTACTGACGGACCAACCAACCGATTCCCCCACCCTCCTCCTTCCCTAAACCCAACCAATAGTGTTTTAAAAAGCACAGATTGTCCCGCTCTCCCCCTTTCCTAAACCCAACTGCAGTGTTTTAAAAAACAATGCAGAAAAAGAAAAGCCCCCTAATTTTACCACATTCTTACCCTGTTATTTACATGTTTATTTTATTTTTTTAGCTTTTGTTTTTGTCTTACCTGCTTTCTGGAATTGTTCTTCACTGGACTCGAACCCTATTGTCACGGTCCACTCTGTTCTGCTTATCAAGTCCGCCGACATACATGTCGAGTTACTGAACAAACTTGGAACAGCGAGAAAGCTGTTCATACATAGGTAAGCGGTCAGCCGGTGGGCAAGAAAAGGAATGGCGTCATATCGCCTCGTAGCATTAATTTTAGACGAAATGCAGCCATATGTACTTCTGGCTACATAATTTGCGATCTCCATTAATGTATATAGGGCTACGTTTTCAGTATGAGCCTATGTTGACATTGTTTTATCAATAAGTGCCAGCAAGAATCCATTAAGAAAATACAGAAGTTGCCACCTAATAATTATTTCAAGATTAATTAAAAATAAATGTTCGTAATACAACTTGAAGGCTATGAATGCGTTTTCTAATAATTAATTTAAAATGACTTTTAAAAATATATTTTAAATCTATAATTCTAATGAAGCCATGGTTTACTTTGAATTTATAACATCCAATGTTGTTAGTTGTTGTTAGTAGCTGTTAAATTTAATATAGTGTAAACCATGGCTTCATTTTAATAATTTATTTTTCTATTTGAAATTAAGTAAAGGAAGTTTATCTGTTTAACCAACAAAAAGGAAAATCGAGCCACAATCTTGTTTTGTTTTATTTTTGCGAGCAAAATGAAAAACGAAAATACGACGGTTCCCTCTTTTCCTTTATTTAGTTTTAAATAGGAAACCAAATGATCAAAACGTACACAGACCATGCTTATTTCTTTCATAATATGATCATTTAATATAGCAAGCCGGGTGTAATAAAATAAAACATAGCAATAAGATTATTATGATAATAGTAAGCTAAAACTTTATTCTTCTGCCAAACAATGTAGTTCCTCAGAAACAGTGTTGGTTGTAACATAGCAATACTGATGTAATGAGGTCATAGGTGTGTTTTTATATTTACAACAGCTTTGAACACGTTTCAACCGATCAGAATCAGTGACCAGAAATATCTATTTTAAAACTTGATAAAAATATATAAAACTATATTTTGGGAAAAAATATGCATTATACATTTAGATATTGTTTAAAACCTGTATAGATTGCAGTAAATTTAACTTTGCCAGATCCCAGTAAATTACTTGTCTATTCAGGATTGTGAGTAAATCAATCTATTTTAGACAAACAAACAAACAAACAAAGTGATTCTCAGTATATCCAGAATTGTGCAGCTCTATCTTCACCTGTTTGCTATTTCTCTGCAAAAGTGCTAAACATTTTATAATATGTTGTAAACCAGTGAAAAAAAAAACAAGGGTGCCAACATTCTTCTCAGAACTGTTTTTCCCATCCCAAATGAAGACATAAAAATAACATGAAATCGGCACAATTTCTTAAGTAGGTTTCAACTGCGGTGCCATTTAAGTGAAGTATTTCTATATTTTTCTGTAAGTGGGTAAAAGGTTAGCACTGTAAATGTAAGCTGAACATCCTGAAGTTTAAAGCGTCCATAAACGCCTCGGATTTCTACCTAAAAGCGCCGCAGTGCAGCCCACGGCATTTTTCTCTGTCTTTAAGTTAATGAACCGCCATTTCCTCCAAAGCAGTCCATCTGCAATCATATCTCACCGTAAATAAACAACATCAACAGCACAAAAATATAAGTTTGCTTTTTGTCAGATCTGATTAGGTCAGTTGTGTTTGCTTGTTTTTTTTTATTTAATGTTCTTTATGGTAGATTATGGTTGTTATTATTATGCTGCCTTGTCAAATGGGTCAGTATGTTAAAAACACATTTTGACACATTTTACGTCATTTTTGTAAAAAAGCATTTAAGAATTGCAAGTAATGCACATAGTTACAGTTTGTTGTCGAGAGGTGATAGATTCATAATGAAACAACAGTAAAATGTTTTGTACTCAGCACATTACTCAAAATGTATATATTTATTCAAGCAGATTTCTGTGAAGAAACTAATTTCACCTTTACACTGTAAAAAAAGATTTGTTCACTCAACTTAACTTAGTCAAGTCATCTTGTTGGATTGACTCAGTTAAGCAGTATTGACTTAATTATCTAAGTTTTCTCAACTTAAAATGTTTAGCAGACAGAGTTAAATAGTTCACCCAACTACTTATTTCAAGTTAACTGGACTTGCAATGTTTAGTTTTAATAGGTTACTTTCATTATCAAGTTAGCAGAACACACCAAGTTTAGTTTAAATATATTGGCTTACATTTTCAAGTTCACTGAACTTAATCTAGAAGGTTTTTTTCGATTAGAAACAGAACAGACAATGAAAAACATCACACATTCTATTTAAGGTCCTTACTCCCAATTACATACACTGTACTCAAAATATAATTGTTTTTACAAAGTATTTTTTCCTACAAAGTAATTCTTTACAAAATAATTGTAAAGTACAACTAATCTCAAGAGGAAAAAGAAAAATGTAAAACTCTAAAATACAGAACTAACACAGGCTTTTGGATAAAAAAAAATGACATCAAAACTTGAAAGATTATAAAATCTGATCTCAAAATCTGTGTTTTAATGTATTTTTAAGCATACTCTTTTTTATCTTTAAATGTACTCTTGCACTGCAGATATCTGCTCCAATTAACAGTTCTGATATCCAGGAGTCTTCAGTCTGCTCTGCTCTTCTTCAGAATCTACGTGCTGTATAAAAAAACGCAAAACAATAAAGAATCTTTACATTTCTCTCTTTACATTACAAAACATTAAAGACATAAACACAACATGAGTACACCAAATCTTATTTACCTACAAATTATTACTTGCAAGATGGCAGTGCTTCAGCATTGTCTTGTGACAATTTATTGATTAGTTGTAGTAAAACTTGCAGCTCCACTTAATTCATCAACACCAAATGCCCCATACTACTTGAAGTATTTCTATGAAGTAAAGAAACCAAAACATATTTAATAAATAATGTACACAACCAAGACCAGAATAATCACAATTTTTCTAAAATAAAAATTTACTAAAATCTTTCAAAATGATTTGTCTACTGTTGCATACATGTTTGTATACTGTATGCATATGATGGAATTTATTTGGTAAATATTTATTCTGTTAATATTTTCCAAAATATCTTCTACTGTATATAAATGGAAAATCCATCCACATCAATATAAAAATACCTGTAGTACATTACTCAGAGAACTAGAAAAGTACTTTTTTATACATATATTGAGAAATTGGGGTGATGCGGTGGCGCAGTAGGTAGTGCTGTGCTGTCGCCTCACAGCAAGAAGGTCACTCGTTGGGTCAGTTGGCATTTCTGTGTGGAGTTTGCATGTTTACTCACGTTCGCGGGGGTTTCCTCCGGGTGCTTTGGTTTCCCCCACAGTCCAAAGACATTTGGTATAGGTGAATTGGGTAGGCTAAATTGTCCGTAGTGAATGAGTGTGAATGAGTGTGTATGGGTGTTTCCCAGTGATGGGTTGCAGCTAGAAGGGCATCCGCTGTGTAAACCATATGCTGGATAAGTTGGCGGCTCATTCCACTGTGACGAGCCCAGATTAATAAAGAAACTAAGCCGAAAAGAATATGAAGAATGAGAAATTGCAAATTCAAACCTAAAACTACACTAAGCCCTATGAATGTAGTCAAACTCCACTTGTATTAGTTAAGGTCTAATATGCTCTAGAAACATTTATATTGGGAATAACATATTAACAATAAGTCAATATTTTACAAGTTACAAGTTAAAGAAGAATTTGAAGAAGCATTATTAATGTGATGACTTAACATTTAAAGTATCTGGTGTCTGTAAATAAAAATATCCTATGTGTCTGACTTCTTCTGGTGTTTTACTGGCAGTTAGCAAAAAATGACTTAAAGGTGAATATTCCACCACCTGCTGGATTAGAAGTATGGACCGCAACTGAAAGGATGCTGGTTTAGCATATGTTGTACCAGGTTAAGTTGAATTACCAACTTTGTTGTTTTAACTTACAAAATTATGTTGAAAAAACTAAAATGCAGAATAATTTTTAGTGTATAGTGATCTACCATCAGGAGCTAGCCAGCTAACCATTATCACAAACTTTTATTGTTACCATCAGGCTAATGTAGCTTTTCCATGTTTCCACTGCAGGGTTTGTCATATATTCCTCATTTGCACTCTGAGAAGAGGAGAGGCAGAGTCCCTCACCCACAGGACACCTTCAAACCTCCAGCATGGCCGAAAGAAGAGCCACATATCAACACACCACTCAGGAACAGCTCCAGGGCCACTGGTCCTAAACGTTGTGGCGTGCCAGACTATCCCGAACAGAGAGATGTGCATCTCCGCCAGAAACGATATGTGCTCTTTGGAGGACGCTGGCCAAAAACTGACCTCACCTACAAGTAAGGTGTAAAAAAATTAGAAACAATTATTAGTCATTTATGATGTTGTTACAGTTATATCAGGGAAAAACTTAAGCTTGCATCGGTTGAGTGTAGGAAAAAGATAATAATAGAGAGGCACAAGAAGAACATCCACACCATAAAAACTAAAATGACATGTATAGACAACAGCGGACAACAATCTGAGGAAACCACAGGCTATAAAGACTAACATACATGCAGAACCAAACAAGACACAGGTGACACTAATAATAAACCATGGAAACAGATAAGTGTCTCAAAATAAGAGTCTCAAAACCAAACTAGATGCAACACATTTAAGATATTATACGTATTGGCATGAGGAATCCTTTAGAAAGTGTATGTTTAAAAACATTATGAACGTTATGTTAATATAATATTATGTCACATACTAAGAGAAAAAAAAACACTGGTTGGTTGTAATTGAGATCATTTATTTTAAGTTGTTTTTGAAAAAAAGTGTCTGCTAAATGCATCATTAGGCAAATATATATTTATTGTAGTATTAAATTCATTTTATATTTTATTATTATAATCACATACATGTTGGATAAAAATAAGTTTCTTAAAACAATTATATTTTTAAATAGTAAATGTAAGCTCCATAACTGATTCAAAGCCTTTCTGTTTGTAACAAAAGGGGTATTTTCCTCTTATTCTATATCTAAATGAATGATAACGTTTGTGGGCTTATATCTCTATTCTGATCAAACTTGCAGAAGGCAGTGAATGTAGGGGCTTTACAGTCATTGCCTGTTTTTGAAAAAGAAGCAATCAGCCACATTTGTACAGTGGTCTATTCACGTGCAGCAATGTGTAGATGCATCCGGTTAAAGATGTAGGATACACACCTTTTTATTTCTGTGGTCTTGTTGCTCTGAATTGTTCTTTGTGTAACATTTTCAAGGCTGAATAGCATAGAGCTATGCACTTCATGGATTAGAATGGGGCATTATGTATAAGATAAATGACATGTTTACATTTTCTTTTCATACATCGGTCATGCAGCAATGCTAAAACAGTAATATTACTTTAATAAAACCATAAAACTAAAACCATTTAAATAAAATAAGCAGTATTCTGGTTGAGTAAGAGGTTATTACAGTTTCTCTTGTATTTTGGTTCCACCAACTCAGAATATCCTCTGCTGGTTCCACCCAGTTCTAAATCTCTTGTGGTCCCACTTGTTCCCTTTTGCTCATAGTCTCCAGAGTTCCCACCCAGCGTCCCTCTTCTGTCTCTTTATCCTAACCAACCCATTTAGTGGCCCTTTCTCCACTGGCTCCAGTTCTTCTCTTCTTTTATCGTGCACTACTTTCAGTTAGTCAATCAGTTTCTATAGTGCTTTTTACAAAGTAGATTTTGCCAAAGCATCTGTACATGGAACAGACAAAAGAAAGTAAAAAGCCATAACAATAGTTGAGAATATAAGGACATATTCCTCATTTCAGATAGACAGCTGGGTAATAATATAATGCTTTTGTAGTTTTAGTTAGATTCAGATCAGTTTAATACAAATGTCACTGTTGAATGACCATCACTAACCAGAACCAGTTCAGTTCAGTTGACTTTATTGGGACCTGTAGGTAGATTCTTTTTGCAGCAAAGATTGGCATTTGATACAAACAATTAAATCACACATATACATACCCACATATATAGATGCAAAAGTACATTATAAAATATTACAATTTATTCAGAGCAACAATAGATGATGGGACAAAGCTAATGTTTTATCCTACTAAAAAGCATCTGAAACCTTCAACTCAAAGGAAGTAGCTTAAACTCCCCAGAAAGAGGATGAGAGCTACAGCTACTAATGTTCTAGGCAATCTTTAAAGCTGCCTACTATATAGGGATTCAATACTCAGCTGTGCTTCACCAATCAACTTGCTAGACCACCTAATAACCTAGCTTAGTCTATTCCTGTTTTTAAGGGACAGACTTCCAAACCATGCCACCAGAGTGAAAGATAGAATAGACTCAAGAAAAGCATGATAGAAAAAAGTAAGCATATTGGGGCCAATGTGAAAACGTGATAGTTTCCTAAGACAAAAAGGCGCTGATGCCCCCTCTTGCACACAGCTTCATAGTTTGCCTCAAAGTAAAAAAAAAAAAATGTCAATAATGATAGCCAAATAATTGTAGAACCCCAAGCATTCTACTTTGTGACCAAGCAAGCTAGAGGCAAACTCCACCAATTGACAGAAGTGGAGAACAAACTAGACAGTCCTTATCTGTTTAAACTAAAAAGAGGCAAAGCTGCACTCTAAAAATATTAGTGGCCTTTAGAACGATGAGGATCCAATGTTGAAAAGGTCTAAAAAGGTCCAAATTGGTCCAGAGCGTTAATATTTATATTACAGCCTTTTTTTGGGAAGTGTTACCCAACACAGTTCTCCTAGTCCTGATCCCAATGCAGGCGCATTGGATCTGACAGACTCCAGCTTTTTCATGGCAAGTAGATGCCAGGGCTTCATCTTAGGCTGTTGATCCCTGGGCTCGACCTCAAGCATCTTTCAGTTTCTCATTGGCTCTATAGTTCCTTGTCTGCAACGAGGACCACCAGTCCTCTGACTCCCCCACACTCCTTTGTCTTTCAGCTTTGCCTAGTCAGTCCTCCAACATGGTCTTCCAGTCCTCTTGCTGTGCCTTGTCCATCTACACCCTGGATCTGTCAGGTTCCTCTTTCCCTCCAGTTTCACTTTGGTCTTTGGTCCCCCAGCTCCATCTTGACCTACTGGGCCCCCATCTCCTTGTCAGTCCTGCAGGCCTGTGATTACACATCAGTGCTCCAGATCTGGGGTGTTACCCTAGGTCTTTGTATCATATCTCCTGGCTGTACCACCATTGGGTCTGATGCTATTTGCAAATGATGCGATTTGAAGGATTGGCATCGTGCGAATTTCAGCCATTTTACACACTTAACGCACAAATTGCTTGAGTTAAAAAATCTTTAAACCATGACAGACATTAGCACTGTGTTAACCAATCAGGAGCTTGCTTTAGTAGAGGTGTGATTAGGGCATAGCTTCTGCAGTTGGTGTCCTAAAGGGAAATCCTCCTGCCGACATGGGACAGCAGGTCATCAAACTGGGACCGCTCAGTCGGAAGTACTGCTGAAAGGTGTAGCTTCTGTAGGTGTTGGTGTCCTGAAGGTGTAGGTGTAGCTTCTGGACAAGTTGATGAACTTGCCAAGCTGGGTGCACCTCTGAAAGGTCTGATGGACCCAGCAGCAGTGCCGAACCAATCTACACCAATTTTCAGCCTTCCTTTAGCATATAAAGTGCAGTTACTCTCTCAAAAAAATGTATGTCAACCATTGAACAATGAAACTAGAGTTGCCAGGCAGACAGACGCCTCTCCCATGACGCAAATATTGTTAGCATATTTTATGCACAAATAAAGTAATCTCAAGGCATCCAATTATGTGCGAATAGCACATTCTATTCATGCAAGCCATGTCTAGTGTAAGCATCATATTAGATGAACTCTTTCATGGTGCAAGTACATGTCTTCTAGTAGGGGAAGCTACTGTCTGGTTTTGCTTCCTTTGTTTTTTGGTCTCTTCTTGTTTACCTGATTTGTTAACAAGTCCCAGGCATGTTTCTATTTCTTTTAATCACTCCACATGTATTTATTCGCTATTCAAATGTTAAAATGATGCGTTATTGTTAAGATGTTCATATAACATGTAGTCAGTCTTTTTACAACTATAAATTTACTTAGCACACAAGGGAAATAGCACTTTAAATAGCATCCAAAATGCTACACTGGGGCTAAATCTGGACACTTCCCTTCTTTTACACAGACAGGTGTGTGAAACTTATGACAAAGCTTGGCTTCCTTTATTAAAATGTGCATTTATAAATAGTTACTGATACAAGTAGTAACAGCTTATGTACGTTCCTCTAAACTTGAGCTATGCAAATTATTACTGCGGTTAACACAAAAAATGTGAAGAATGCTCAAGTGCTTACAGTTGTTTAAAGGACTATAATAAAAGGTTAAAATGTGAAGATCTAGAACAGTCTGATACAGTGTCTGGGCTTACAATAAACCCGGCAGAGTTTTTCTCCTGTCAGAAACTGGGTCATGAAGCATATACATAATAGCACCAAAACCACAGTTTCATTATGCTTATAAAACAGCCAATCTGAACATATTATGAGACCATGTGACACATTTAGCAGACAGATGCCTGCGGTGATGAATAATAAAGATAAATCACTGGTGGTCTCTGATGTGGGATTGTGTCAGTTGGTGGTCCAGCAGTGAAAGGCTGGTGGTCTGTAACACAATGCGTTTACACAGGAGCAAAAGCGATCACGTGTGTTGTGTTGATAAACATATGTCCATGTGTATCCAGAATCCAGCGCTTTCCATGGCAGATGCGTGAGGATAAAGTGAGGCGGATTTTCCAAGAGGCTCTGAAGGTCTGGAGTGATGTCACGCCCCTCACCTTTACTGAGGTCGTCAACCAGGAGGCCGACATCGTCATTGACTTTACAAGGTAAACAACAACAACTAAATCAGTATGCTGGGGTCCGTTCTTCATACGTGGCTTACTCAATTAGCTGGATTTAGTTATTGATGATTTGACACGATCCAGGATTGTTTCGTTCTTCAAAACTCATCCGAGAGTTGTTGTCATAGCAACAGGTCTGGTAGCTCAAACCTGTTCAGGAGCAGGCTTATTTCATATAAACAGGATTAGATAGGGTCATTTCAAGCAAAGGTGATACTGGAAGTATGTCCTGAAAGCTGATATTTTCTTACAGTAGTAACCTATAGGTTATATACTGTAAATATAAATAAATAAACATTAAATATACATTATATAGAGATTATATATAGCAAAATAGTTTTAAAAACTATATATATATAGTTATAGTATAGGTTTAAAAAAAAAATATATATATATATATAAAGAAAACTGTTACAACGTTTACTCTGAAATAAAAGTACAAAAACTGTCACAGGGGTGTTCTTTTCTCAAGAGGTATAAAGAGAACATTTACTAATATAGACTTTTAAGATACAAATGCTTAGGTACTATTTAATTATAATTTTGAGGTACAGACCCAGCTTTAATGCAATTTGTGTATAGTACCAATATTCTCATTTTATTTTATTTTTCCATGCACATGTTTTGACAGCTAATGTGCCTGTGATTTTATGCTTCACAAACAATGCAGTCACCTTTAACAACATCAAAATGCTTTTTTGATGCAAAATTTATTTAAACATCAAAGTATGAAAGGGTTGGTCCTCTATGATATCATATTTTAAACTTTAGTTGATGTGTAATGTAGCTGTGTGGACATAAACAACATCTCTGAATGTAATATGCTCAAAGTTCAATGAGAGACATTGGCTTTTACATCTACACGGAAAGAACCTATATAAACAAATATGTTTTAATATAGGTATAAATATAGGTTTTGAATATATGTGACATAAAATTGGCCATTTTCCTATATTATATGTGCACAAATTATATATATATATATATATATATATATATATATATATATATATGCTATGTTTTATATGAATGTCTTTAGGTATAATACTGAACCAATTAATATGTGGAAGTTTTGTAAATATATTTGCTTTTATTATATTATACATTTTTCCTGCTACGATAAATCTGGAAAAAGAACTAAAGAATATAAAAATCCAAACAATGGTCACTGTGTATGGTGATGATGCTTAAATGTAATTAGTTATTTTTATGCGACAAGTTAACTGTAGTACAGTTTTATTACTGCATGACTGTCTTTATATGTCTATGTATTCTATATTAGGTACTGGCATGGTGATAATTTGCCTTTCGATGGCCCTGGTGGGATCCTGGCTCATGCGTTTTTCCCGAGGACACATCGAGAAGGAGACATTCATTTTGATTACGACGAGTCTTGGACAGTTGGGAATGAACTTGGTAATTTGTAAATCTTATTGCTTTACTGCCTGCCAGTCACTAAGAAAGCTGATTTTTTGGGGGAATCTGAAAGAATGTCAAATAGATAACTCACATTTTTGGAAATGGATCAGCGAATGTTTGATTGATTCTGCTCACTTTTTAAAAATAAAGTCAACTTATCACTTTACAAGCAATCAGTTTGCTCACTTTTTTAAATTAAAGTTTAGTTATCAATTTTTACAATGCAGAAATGCTGATGAATGACATATCGCTACTGTTTTGCTTCTGTTTGTTTTGTACTGTGATATCAGAGCTGTTGCAGTTTCTTTAAATTTCATAACGTTTTTAAAAAAAATTACCTACTCAGTACAGTTGAAATGTATTATTCCAATAGAATAGTAGAATCATTTTAAAAATCTGACTCCAGTCTCAAACCCATCCCTCATTTGGATGGTGCTTGAGTGATTAATGCTTTGTGACTTATGATTTAGGCATATGACATTGTAGTAAGAGTGTGTAATGTTACATACTTATGGTTTTCTGTCCTCTAATTCCACACATTCCTCTAATTGACACACATATCTCTCAGCTGTTGTTTGAAAAAATCATTTGGCATCGTGCTGATGCTTACATCATTACTACAGAAGCAGATCAGATCAGATCTGCATCAGATATTCAAGAGCTTATCTAAACATATCAGATCAAACAAATCAGCAGTCAAGATTTGAAAAAAAAAAACAAATCAGATTTGTCCACATAAATCAGATTTTTTTTTTCCAATCTTTACTTGAGGAATGACTGTTGATCTGAAAAAAAGAGGAGAAAAAGAACTTCATTTTGTTTGCTGTCCTACAGGAACGGATCTTCTTCAGGTGGCAGCCCATGAGTTTGGTCACGTACTGGGTCTACAGCACTCTCTGGTGCCTGGAGCCATCATGTCCCCATTTTACAGCTTCTCCTATCCTCTCAAGCTCAGCGAGGATGACAAGAAGGGGATCCAGTACCTGTACGGACCCCCAGTGCGAGCTCAGCCACAAATCCCAGCAGAAACCAATGACATTCCCAGTGCATTCCCAGTGAGTAGCTAAACACGTGTTCTGTAAATTATGTCAGCAGTGAAACAAATACACCTCAACAGCATTTGGGTGACAGAATTGTTTCGCAATGCCAATTCATACCACACAGAAGAACAGCAACAACAAACATCAACAAAAAAGTTAGCTATTGGATTTAGAATGTTGTGATAAATGACTGTGATGTTACATTAATTCAATAAGTACCTACTTTTTCAGTCTCAGGGCTAAAATAGACGTTTATGTGAAGCCTATCCTATATTCCTTTTCAGAGTTGTTGTTGTTTGTTTGGAAAATCAAGTGACACTGATTGAACATGTAAAACATAAACTCCACCAAAGGCAACAGACGCAGAGGGTTATCGCACTGATCAAACAAACTCCAACATTTTTGTTTCGTGGTGTTCATCTGTGCTGTGAAATGGACTTTATTGGCGCTTATTTAGTAATTTTGTGAAAATGTTTTTTTTGAATTGTTTGATTATTACATTTAGAAAAACACACACAGACACACACACACACACACACACACACACACACACACACACACATATATATATATATATATATATATATATATATATATATATATATATATATATATATATATATATATATACATATACATACAAATCTTATTTAACATTTTAAATATATTTATTGTCCTGGGAGAATTTATAATTATTTTATTTTTATTTTATTTTATTTATTTATGTTAATTTTTAATAAACTTTACTTATAGAACACAAGCCAATATCGGTCTCTACAAATGTGCAATTTTCCACACTTAACCCCCGCACGCATAGCAAGTCTTCTTGCAGAACATAAAAGATAAATGAATGAACGGACGAAAAAATATATTAAATGAAATAAATAAATAGAGGAAGCAGTGGTGCAGTGGGTAGCATGATCACCTCACAGCAAGAAGGTCTCTGGTTTGAGCCTCAGCTGGGTTAGTTGCCATTTCTGTGTAGAGTTTGCATGTTCTCCCCGTGTTTATGTGGGTTTCCTCCAGGTGCTCCGGTTTTCAAAGCCATCTGCTATAGGTGAATTGGGAATGTTAAAAATTGCGTAAAACATATGCTGGATAAGTTGGCGGTTCATTCCGCTGTGGTGACCCCAGATTAATAAAGGAACTAAGCCAAAAAGAAAATAATGAAATAAATAAACAATGGTGTGGTTTTGTTGGTCATTACAGTTTTGGATAACCAAGATAATTAAGAATGATAGCTATTCCTCTTGCTTATTGTGATTTTGGTTGTGCTGAACTTTCTCTTTGTAAACGAGTCCAATTAAAAGGATGACTACATCGGCGTATAAATGCAAAAGTGAGGGCTAGTTCTGACCATGAAATGATTTTTTAAATGACCACTGCAAGAGGTGTTAATTTGTCAAAATAATCCAGTAATGGCCTCCAATGTGTATAAAATCTATTAGATAAGCCTCTGAGAGAGAACCTAATCTTCTCCAATTTCAGAAGACCTAACTTGTCATTTAGCCAGATTTGATTGAGGGTGGTTGGTGGGATTTCCACATTAAGAGAATTCTCTCGCAAGCAACAAGTGAGAAGAAGGCGATGTCATTAATATTGTTGTTGTTGTTGTTTAATCATTCATTCATTTTCCTTCGGCTTAGTCCCTTTATTCATTAGGGGTTGCCACAGCGGAATGAACCGCCAACATTTAGTGACCCAGCTGAGACTCAATCCAGTGACATTCTTGCTGTGAGGCGACAGTGCTAACCACTAAGCCACTGTGCCGCCCTGTTGTTGTTGTTATCCTTATATTAAATTTGTCTTGCATTAAAATTTTTATTATACCAAGAATGATCTTATATTTGCAATTTGTTTAGCCTTGGTTAGACTTTCAGTCCAAACTTGGTTATTCAAATATTTGATTCATCTGTTCAGATCTAATGAATCTAATGCAATAAATGTATTGGTTTATAGCGATGAGATTGTGCTGGTATGCCAACAACAGAATTAAAAACTGGTTTTGCAATACTTTCAAGCTGAATCTCCATGAACTGTGTGTTCACATTAAACACAAAACATTTGAACACCTTCAGCAAACTCATCCCAACATGACAGGTGGCTTTAACCTCATCCACTACACAATATACAACAGTAAATTGAGATAAATTATTTCAAATACTCGGATATAACCAAAAGACTGTTTATCTGAACAAGCTGATGCGTTCCCTTCATTCTCCCTTTGTTTATTCAGTCTCCTCTTTTCTCACTGTTTGCAGCCTGACGCTTGTCACACAGATTTCGATGCTGTGTCTATAATCCGTGGGGAATTGTTCTTCTTCAAGGCCAGCTATGCGTGGCGCATCAGGGATGGCCGTCTGCAGGCCGGATACCCTGCGCTGGCCTCCCGACACTGGAGTGGCATTCCACAGAAAATAGACGCCGCCTATGAAGACAAAAAGGGCAATATCTGGTTCTTTGAAGGTGGGTGAGTGCAGCGGCACTGGCTGACTCTGGTGATTTGCGGTTGGAGGACAGGATTAGACAAGCCTGGTTATATACAAATGTATGGTGACGGGTGGTGCGGTACTTCCCCTTGACCCATATCTGAAGCGTCCCACTTTGTGAAGGGCATGACTGAACACAACCACGCTGAACACTCACTGCTAACAACTGACAAACACACACGCATGTTGTGCAGGACAGTTCCTAAACAGTTTTGTACTCTTATGGGTGGTTGCTGCAGTTTAAATAGTTTATAAGTTAATTAAATTTTCTAAATTAGAAGCATTAAAGATTGAAAATGTGGGTTGGAAAATGTAGTTTGGTCATGTTGAATCTAATAGCATCGATTCGATCTGAGTCAAATAGCTACTGTGTATGAGTTCAAATATGCTGTAAATGTACTTCATTTTTTACCCACTAGAGGACACTAGACAGACAGTTTTATGGAAATGTCAATATGTCACATAGCACTATTAAACACAATAAAAGGTTAACTAATGTGCTGCACAATGCAAATCACAAAAATAAAAATTCTCACTGATAAAATGCCTAATCAAAAAGGTAAGTTTTCAACCTTGATGTATAAACAGTAAGAGATGATATAGACCTAAAACAGAGGGGCAGAGCATTCCACAATGTAGGACCAGCTAATGCGAAAGCACTGTCACCCCTGCATTTCAGCCTCGACTTGAAGCCTCGGATGCATAATAATCTCTGGTTTGATGACTGAAGAGACCGACCAGGCAGATATTCAGTCAACAGATCTGACAGATAAGAAGGTGCCTGGCCATTTAGTGAATTAAAAACAAAGAGAAGAATTTTAAATGCATAAACGTTTTACGTTTTTATATTTTTGAGCTATTTAAAGTAAAAATAAAATTGTCATTTTGTGGTCTGTATAATAGTTCAGATTTTGTATTCAGTGATGTTTTCAAACTAGGGTCATAACAGAGTACTAGGGGGTCTGTGGAAATGTTTGAGATTTTTTTTAAATAATTAATGTAATAAACTACAAATAATGTAAAATAATCAGTCAAAGTATTAATATAAGTACATAAGCTTAAAGGAAAAAATGAATATATTACTGATAAAATAATCTAATAATTAAAATTAGTACAAATAATGATTTCAAATCTGTGATGATTAAGAACATATAAATAAATAAAATTTTAGTTAAATTTAAAAAGTATTTCTTAAAAGTTAGAAACATGGCACTATAATGATTAGAATAATTAAGTGTAACTTAATAGAAACTAAATATTTTCCATAATCTTTGTTGATTGATGTTTTTTTATTTTAACATTTATAATTTATTTTTAAGGATTATTTGGCTCTTCATACAAGACACTTTTTAGATGCCTTGTGCAGTTCAGGATTATTTATTATCCTTAATTATTTTTTACATTGATCCAATCTTAAATATTATGCTTATTTAAAACAATTTTAAAACAGCATGTTTGTAATAAAAAAAGTAACATCTCTAATAATTCATAACCACTATAATCACCGCAGTCGCATGGTGTCAGTAAATGCTCACATATATATATATATATATATATATATATATATATATATATATATATATATATATATATATATATATATATATACACACACACATATATACACGTGTGTGTGCATGTGTGTGAGACTCATCATTTCAGAAAGGTTTAAATAAACTCCACCACAAATACATCAAATAAACTTACTTGGTATTTTTGACTAATAAGCTGTTTTTCAGCTTCATGCTTGTCTGTCTCTGTCACTGACGGCTGTTTATCTGCTGTAACACAGGAAAAGCACGCATGCACGTGGGAACGGTGGGCGGGGAAAAGCAGCTCATTTGCATTTAAAGCTACAGGCTTCAAAAACAGCTACACTGTACTCAGACACCAAAACGGGCAGATTCTGGAGGTTATAATAAATACGCAGATTCTGGAGACACCAGAGGTATATCTTACATCTTGTAAAAGGAGTAAAATAGGTGCCCTTTAAAGTTAGACACGTTAGCACCAACCTGTTGGAACCACAGGAACAAGAAAATGCATAAGCAAGACTTTTCAAGCATATGATGCGAAATTGAAATAGTTACATTGAGTAAAATCATACATGAAAGCAGTGATATGTCTAATGAATCTTTCCCTTATGTCTTAGGTTCCAACTACTGGGTGTTTGATGCCGAGCACAGGATTAAAGGACCAGACTCTCTACTATCTTTAGGCCTCCGTGTCTCAAACATTCAGGCCGCGCTGCGTGTAAAGGAGCACCACAGCCAGCACACATACTTCTTCAAGTCTGGAAACTACTGGCGTTTGGATCCTCAAGAGAACCGAGTGGACACGTCTGCCCCCCGGCGGATCCAGCAAGACTGGTGGGGTGTTCCTGAGGAGATTGATGCTGCCTTCCAGGAGGCCAGCGGTATGTCCAGACCAGCCTTTTACAGATGTATTAGTAGTGAAAGTGAAGATTACTATGAAAGAAATCAGGTTGTGAGTTAAAACTAGTTTGCTGAATCTGTGCTTTGAATGAAGTTAGTAAGTCACTTAATCAGGCATTTTCAACCACACATTTAATTGATATATTATATCATTATTTTTGTTTTAATTATTTAATTTCATATTGGCTTCACGAGGCAGAGTGGGAGGTTAGTGCTTGTGTTAAACACAAAGGAAGATATATTGAAGAAAAAAAGCAGCCATTGGCAGTATTTTTTGTTCCAACTGCAGCTGCATTTCCCAACATTTTTCACAATATCTTGTTTTGTGTAAAAGTTTTGAACCATCTGAGAAAGTAAATGGTGAATTTTTTAAAAAAAACTATCATGTCGATTTACTTTGACTTAGTTTTAAACATATTTTTTAAAACAGAGTAAATGACAGACCTTTTTCAAGGATGAAAGGCAAAATGTATTTGTGGGTCAAAGTGACAAGAATACAGAGGAAAATGTCCCATCTGATCACTGATCTTTCAATTTTAACTTGTGAGTATGGAAGATAGACAGAAGAGGGCGATGTTTCAGCAGTTGTTACATGGATATGTGTTGAAAGTTAAAGGAATTTTAATTTATTTAAACTCAAGCCGACCAAGATGTAGTTCCTGCCACATTATTTGGTATTAATATCTAATAATTTCATATATTTACAACTACAATTTCGACTAAAAATCTTTTATAATCTTCTGTATATCTGTATGGTTTGGCCTTCTTTATGTACAGAAACCTAAATCTTGCATGAGTAAATTATTAAATGATTGTAATTTTGAACTCTCTTTTGAAAGATAATTGTGAATTTTTCTCTCACAATTCTGACCATATTCTCACTCACAGTTGCAAATTTACATTAAGCAGTTCTTACCTTTTCCTGCAATTATGCATTTATCTCCAATAGTATCTGGATGCAGACTTGGATTTGCAGACACAATGCACTGAATGTCTGAATGGGGAAACATCAATTTATCCAGAACTGTTTGCCAAGTTTACAATTGCATTGCTTATTTGGAATCACCAGTAAAGTTAAACAACAACCATCTCATTATCAAGAATCAAGCAGAATCTGCACATTTGTGGCTGTTCTATACATTATCCTCCTCTGGATAATACTTGTCTGATTGCGCTGGTCTTCTGAAGTAATTCACAACTTGATCTTGATGGCGAGTGTCCTCCAGAAATGACAGTGACTCTTTGTTTACATACCAGTGACGTCACTGTAAGGGCCAGGGTTAGGGGTGGGGTTAAGTTAGGTGTTCGCATTAAAAAGCATTGCATGCAGCTCACCTTGCAACTACACCAAGTCTGCATCCCGACCCCTCTTTTTATTTCACACAATTATGAGTTATACAATTGCAGACTTGAAATTATAAATAATTGAAAATACTGGATGCAACAATTAACTGATTTCACTATTAATCGCGATTTAATTTGTCAAGGTTAATTAATCGTAATGGCTATTCAAGACCGCGGCACGGAACAAAACTGCTACAGCTAAACAAAGTTATGCCAACTGCGTGTGTGCATTTTTTGCATGCGCAAATTTGCTTACAATGGAGGCGCATGGCTTACGCTCGCATATTGGGAGCGACGTGTGCGCACCGCAACACACTCGCACTTGTTATACACATTTCTACTCGCATCCAAAAAGGAAAAAAGTACAAAATAATAATACTAAACATTTTTGTAATATGGTTGATCTAAAGTGACTTTCAGACAAATATCCAGCAAAGAGAAAATAAAAAAAGAGAAATACTTACATTTACATGAGAAAATACTTATAATAGATTTACATTAGACAAATACTGTTTGTTAGTTTATTTATTTATTCATTATTTGTTTATTTATTAATTTATTATTTATTTTATTTGCTTGTTTATTATTTATTTATTTATTTGTTTTTTATTTGTTTATTATTTACTTATTCATTCAATCATTCATTTTTATTTATTTATTTATTTATTATTCATTTGTTTGTTTGTTAATTATTTATTAATTTATTGAACTGTTTTTTTGTTTGTTTGTTTGTTTATTGATTATTTATTTGTTTGTTTATTTGTTTATTATTTGTTTATTGTTTATTTAATTATTTATTCATTTATTCATTTTTAAAATGTATTTTCAAGTTAAAATTATTGCTTGTTTAAATGTGAGAAACTTTTTTCACTTATTTTTAAGTCCAAAGAGAAATGGACTATTGTTTGTTCATTATTGTTATATTGTGATGTACAGTATAATTTGGTTACTGAGCAGCAATAATTAACACTTTAAAATATAAGGAATTTTCATGTGATTTTAGAAACTAGTAGTTTTAAAATCAATAAATGTCTAATAACCGTGAAACCGTGATTATTCCTCAGACTATAATCGTTGCATCCCTAATTGAAAATCATCTCTTGATTTCTTGCAAAATGTCTGATGTATAGGCCTAATTATAAAATGATCGGTTTATAAATGCAAAACATTTCATGTAAATTGATGTTTGCTCCTTCCATAGGCTTTGTGGTCTTCATCAGCCGCCGGCAGTACTGGAAGTTTGACCCAGTTCAGCGGAAGGTTTTGGAAGGTTATCCACGCTACATCGGTGCTGACTTCTTCGGATGTAACATGCCATAAATCCTCAGGAAACCCTCTTGCATCATTCACACACTCTGGTCTGAAGCATACAGTGTACATTTCGGTAAGATTTTACAATAAGGTTCCATTGGTTAACGCGTTTACTAGCATGAACAAACAAAAAACAACAAAATATTATAAAACAATTTAATAGATTATCAATAGATTTTATTTTAATCATCAATTTAATCTAGATGTTATTAAATCAAATCAGTGTTAGGTTTTTACCTCACAGTTCATTAACTAATTTTAAATAAACGCTCAACTTTTTTTGGAAATATTCTCATTTTACAAGTCCCCTAGAATTAAACTGTTGATTTTACAATTTTTAGCTTAGCATAGCATAGATCATTAAATCGTATTAGACCATTAGCGTCTCGCTGAAATAATAATTTTCCTATTTAAAGTTTAATGGAGTAATAGTCCTGAATTTATGCAGGGCTGTTACCTGAACTACTTGACAAAAGTCTTGTCGTCGATCCCAGTTGTAAGAACAATAAATAATAACTTGTCTTCTAGTTGATCATTTGGAAAAGTGTCAGAAGGTCGATTTTCTGATGAATCACCTGTTGAACTGCATCCCAATTGTCACAAATACTGCAGAAAACCTATTGGAACCCACATGGACCTAAAGTTCTCACAGAAATCAGTCAAGTTAGGTGAAGGAAAAATAATGGTTTGGGGTTACATTCAGTATGGGAGCATGCGAGAGATCTGCATAGTAGAGGGCGATATCAACAACCTGAGGTATCAAGACATTTGTTCTGCCATTCCAGATGACTTTATTAATCAGTTATTTGAGTCAATGCACAGATGTATGGATGCAGTCGTCTAAGCTTATGGGAGCCATATACAATATTAAATGTTTTTCTACTGCATCATGACTTTATAATCTACTCTGTACATTATTTCTGTTACGTGAAAAAACTTTTGTTTAAGCAAAGTCAATTCTTACTGTCCTAATTAAATAATTAAAAATCAAGGCATGATCATATTAGCTTTTGTTAAAATAAGCATAATCTAGAGGCCTTTGCCATTCAGATTAGCCACTTCTGATATCAAATGATCATCTAGAAGTCAAGTTATTATTTGTTTTTCCTAAAACTTGGATAGGCGACAAGACTTTTGTCAGGTCGTGTAGTTTCGTAGCTGGAGATTATTTTCAGGTGCTGATTATTATTGCGTCTCCTGCAGCTACGGAAAATAGTAGCTTTTAGTAAGTGATGTTACAATAGAAGAGTCCAGCTTTAAATATGAATATTATCAATACTCTTTTATTTGAACAAGATGCTAATGGTCTAATCTGATTTAATAATCTATGCTAAGCTAAGCTAAATGTGCTCCTGCCAGAACCAGAGATTGGGAAATGGTCAAATTCAACTGTTTAACTCTGTAGGGACAAGTAAAGGAAGCCTATTTCCACAAAAAATGTGCAGTGCTCCTTTAGTAAGCAAAACTTTGGTCTATAATAATTGCTGAATTGCTGATAAGTGATTAATGAATGCTGTGGACATATTGTTTTTTTCATGTTAGTAAATAGATAAACTAATGAAACTTTATTGTACAGTGTTACCTAAATGTACGTACTTGTTCATAAAGACAAACTTTTGTTCTCCTGGGCATTTCACTTCCCCCTCACCTCAAAACAGAAAAAAAAATCTGATAAATCTAATCTAATTTCTTCTCAGGAAATCTTGCACATCTGAGCTTTATGAACCATGAGCAGCTATGTCTGTTTTTGTTTTATTATCAAGCTAACACTGTGTAAGAAATATAAATCCCCTGTTTTTAAGGTGCTAAACAAGGTGCTAAAACATCTGTCAGGGATCTTTGCACCGGCTTCAATGTCCGCAACTCTCGAAGTTTTTACGATGCTCTGCAACTTGTATTATAACTTAAACTGTTTATCTCACTCAGAGTGAGTGTGTGATTGATAATGGCTTAAAGAACACACTCTCTTTACACATGAGCATTTGTTTATTATGTTGAGACTACGTTGGACTCATATGTCAACTGACCAACGGGCACTCCTCAGTGCAGGACACTGACAATGTTTGAATTTTTTTATGCTTCAAAAGATCAACATGGATTTTTTCACATTATCTGTGTACATTTCTCTTTAGTGTTTTTTTTTTTTTTTTAGTTTGTACACTATTATCCTCCTGAATTTCATATTTACTGTGTAAATACTTTTATATAAAACGTGTGTTGTATTTTGGCACAATTAAAGGATTCCCAAACCATGTGGTTGTACTTGTATTTATTTATTTGATCGGTTCATTTGTTCATTTCAATTATGCATTTGTTAAAATGAAAATACAGAAAAAAAGTCATCAAATGTTTAATCAAAATATAAATAAATGCTAATTTAATATATACAATAAATAATTCACTCAAAAATGGTATGTCCCATGCAAAATGTTCAAAAGTCATTTTAAATTGTATTGTATTTTTAAACATTAACAATAAACTTGTATTCAGAAGAATTTGTTATTTAAATGGTAAAAAAAAAACTAATTGCTGCCAACTTGGTAAGCGTAGTGGGTTGAGATACATATATATAAAAATATTGAAATATATTGAAGTTAAAAAAAAACTAAATATTTTAGAACCAAAGGAAAAGATTGACACATTTCCGTTGTTCCCAAAGTCTTCTTGTTTGTTACATCAGTAATAAATAGCAGGCCCGCAGCCAACCTGGTGAAAGGTGTGGTTCTTTTTTTTTTTTTCCAAAAAGTGGACGTATTTGCAGTTATACGCCTCAGGTTTATATTTAACTATAAGATTTAAATACTGCATTTTAGTGTTTTTTTTTTTTTTTTTTTTGCTGGATTAGCTGGTCAGATGTCATCATAACCACACTTTTTGATGTACTAAAATATTTCCTAAAAAATTGCTATAAAAAAATAAAACAAGACTAATTTTTAAGATACAAATTTACTATATCATATATCAGTGGTTCTCAAACTTTTTTCACCAAGTACCACCTTAGAAAAAAATTGTCTCTCCAAGTACCACCTTACGATGCTATTTTTTAACCAGTATTAAAAAATAGCGTCGTAGGCCTAATTAAGCAGCTACAGGTGTGCACAGTTTAAAAATGATGCAAATTAATTCCTATTATTAAGAATATGTATTATTGTCAATCACTTTAAACATTTGAAATAGTCTGAACATTAACTGTGCTTGCAGATAAAAAAAAAAAAGTTTTAGTTAAAATATGCTTTTAAAAGTTCATTAAAAATGAAAAAAAGTAAAAAGATAAAAAGTAAAAGGAAAACTGCTGTACCTAAATCTAAAGTATTCATAGTAGCCTATTCATCAAAAGCTGGACATGTTGCTTGGACCTTATGAATATAGGCTATATGTCATATTCCTACACTTTCAGACAAATCTTGAAATATATGGTCAATGTACATATGACAGGGTTCATACAGGCACAGCCTTATGAAAATCAAGGAATTTTAAGCACTTTTTCCAGCACCTATTTTTTTTTTCAAGACTGACATGCTATGTACTGAAGACCTGAAATGTATTCTCAGCAACCCATAAAACATTGCATATGAATAGATACAAATAAAAACACTTAATAATAATATTTATGAATCATATATGAATAATATAATAAACCTGCATTAAATGCTTGTGAAATCTTTCTCAAGTACTATTACACTGCTAAAATAACAAAAATGTTAGTAAATAATACTAATATTAGGTAAAAGTACAAAGTACTGTTTTAAAAAGTACTAGTTGGTTACTTTGGAAAAAAAAAATCAGATTTTCATTATGAAATCACTTTTTTTAAGTTTAAACCTGATTGAATGGTTTAATTGCTTAAATCCAAAGCTACATGTATAGGAATTTGTACTAACAAAGGAAGTATGGTCGATTTTTCCTTTCATGACAATTAATCTTTTTCAATAGCACTGGTAAAACTACCACATAATCTTTAAGGCCATAGAGACACTTTTTGCCCATTTTTATAAACGATATTTTCAAGCTTTGAAAGGTTAAATTAAAGTATATGGTAAAAAGATTTAATTTGGCCTTTTATTTACATATTTTACACTATTTTTCTTTACAATATGACAAATTTGTTTCTTAAATAGCTGTACATCACATGTAGATTTTATTTTACACTTGATCTTAATCTAAAATAGAACTTTAAAAAAATACAAGTACACTGTCAGTAAAAAAATAAAACAAATGGCTTCATTTTACTTGAGGTATTTGAAATATGACAACAATACATTTATCAAAACAGTGCTTTAAGCCTCAGAGCCTTATTGTTAATTTTGATAAATAAACAATAAGAAACAAAGAATTGCTTTGACCTGTAATGCTTTAGGACAGATCAGAATACAGCTAAATGTGTAAATCACACAAATACCTCATCCAGAAATATTTCCAGCATAATTCTTTTGTCGTAAAGAAATAAAAAAAATTTCACCTTTGCTAAAAGTAAGTTTCACTTCACAACACAGCCAAATAAGAAGACCATTAGCATTGTCATCGATCATGCATCAATCTAATTATAAATATTTGATAACTTTTAATACTTTTGACTAAATTTAGTCAAGGAGCAAAGATAAATAATGTTTGCTTTAATAGTGGAGAGATCGCGATTGTATTCAATCTGAGCACACAGGCGATCATGAGAGGTCTTGCAGTTCATTTGAAAAAAGCATATTTAAGAGCTCGCATATCTGTTTTAGCGATTTGCGTACATGAATGCGCTCTCGTGTTAAAATAAAGCACTCGCCGCATTTGCAGAAATGAATAATTGCGCAATACCTCAATTCCCGCGCCGCCATTCAGAATGTGTTTGGAGGAGTGACAGGTCAGACTGGCTGTCGGAGAGCGAAACGTGTATGTAGATCATCAAAAAGGCAGGACATATGTCCGCGGTTTAATTACTCTGTTGAACATATCTACAGTGAAAACATCCGAGAAGCATTATTCCAACAAAACATTTGTTTTTAAGTTGTTTTTTCTGTCTCTGCAACACAGAAAGCATTTGTCCCGCCCTTACGTTTCACGCAACTAGACAAGGTCGACTGTGATTGGCTACTTTTCATGTCAGTCAAATCACGCTTCAGAATCAATTCTTAAACTTTGGAAACTGATTTTCAGCAGCTTATGACACAATGCACTAAAATAAACATTCTAAGCACAGCGTTGTGATCGTACGCTTCACTAAACAGCCAATGCTGATCACATCAATGTTATATTACGCATTAAAGGATTAAGTGTTAATTGTTTCTTTCATTATTCAGCGGTTCCTCCGCGTACCACTAGGAGGAAGCCCGCGTACCACTAATGGTACGCGTACCACAGTTTGAGAACCACTGTTCTAAGTGAATAAAACCACCAACTGTACGATCAACCTGGAAAACGCCAACCCTAACACAGAAAACTTTTTTTTAAGGCTTTAAAACTTCATATCTTCTTAAAGGCCTTTAATTAAATAAATGATACATAATACGTGAGGTGTACTTGACCATTTACATGACAGAAGATGTGTACTTACCATGCAGAGATGAAAAC